CAGAAATAACCTTACCGCTAAACGCGGGTACTTCTTAACGCTAAGCTTTATAAGGAAGGGTCACTACAACAGGGGTTAATCAGGCTTATAAGGGATAAAGAGCACACCTTATATAAAAAGGCTAAGAAGGGCCTAAAAGCTTACTAATATAAGTAAGGTAACAGAAATAACTATAATAATATTATTAAAGAGATATCTTAACACGCCTAAGATAATTAACGCCTATATCTCTTATAACCCTGATTAATCCCTATTATAATGTCTCTTCCTTATAGAGTTTAGTGTTAAGAGATACCCGCGTTTAGCGGTAAGGTTATTTCTGTAGCCTTAGCATTAGAAATAACAAAATTATAAAAGTTATATTATAATAGAACATTAGAACTTAAATTATCTATATTAGGCTAATTATTAGAGTTAGAGATTTATAAATAGTATTATTCAAAAGCTCTTAAAATTCTCTATTTAAATAGATTTAGTACAACTTTATAATAAGAGTATTTAGCTTAAAACAAAAAAAATAGCAAAAAAGTAATAGCTTTAAGATTTGTTTTTCTTATAACTTATTAATTACTTTAGCTATAAATCTAAAATTAGCTTTTTCTAAGAGTTTATAAGCCAATTCATATAATATTCTATTTATATATTTATATCCTAAATATTAATAGAGTTAATCTTAATATTATCTTTTAAAACTAATACTTTTTTCCCATTTTTAGTTTTTTGCTATTAATAATAGCTTTATTAATCTAGAAGCTATGTATTTAGATAGAGCTTTTTTAGGGCTACCAGATAATACTACTTATAGATCTCTAGCACTAAAAATTAGCCTAATGCAGCTAATTTAAGTTTTACTCTTATAATTTACTTTTAGTATTCTTAACACTAAGGCTACAGCCAAATCTTAACGAATTTTGATGTTCTTAACGCTAAAGCTATAGCAGACTCCTATAATTTTGATGTTCCTAATGCTAAGGCTACAGAAATAACCTTACTGCTAAACATAAGTACTTCTTAATACTAAACTCTATAAGAAAGGGACATCACGATAAGGATTAATCAGGGTCATAAGAGATAATAGAGATTCAAGATTATCTTAATAAGATTATTAGTAAAGTAGTTCTATAGATATAATAGAATGCTTATAATAAGTCTTTTTAGACCCTAGAGTACTCTATTAAGCAACACAGCTTAACACTAGTATAGCTGTATAACTAATAATCTCCTTGTAAGGCAACGCGAGCTACCGTAACTGCTAAGAGGATTTAGCTATATATATATAGCTAAATCCTGAAGTGGCTTAACGCTACTCTGGCGTATTACGTGCCCTAATTTCCTGTGTCTTAGCATAGGAAATCCCTTTTAAGTAATTATTAGAAAACCTAAATAAGAGAATAAATAATATTATAAAGTAAGAACTTTAACAGATTATAAGCCTAACTTTCTGATTACTAAATAAGAAAGTAAGGAGGCAGCTCTAGTAAGCTTTACTTCTCTTAAATAGGTTAGATAGGCTCTTACTTAGCTTATTCTATCCTTCCTTTAATTGAATAAGTATACTAGGCTACTAAACTGCTATATCCTTTCTTTAGTACTCTCTATTATACTTATTCTGTTTAAGCTAAACTTTATTTATGCTCTGCTCTGTTTACTAGCTATTATATAAGCTAATTAATTCTATTCGCAAAAGAAAGACTTAGAACGTCTAGAGAAGGCCTAAGAAGCTTCTCTATTAAGCTTATTCTGTTAGGAAGAGAGAGACCTTAGATAATAAAGCTATTTCCCTGTATTATATCTAATCTGTAGGATCTATTAAAGTAACTACAAAAGCATAACGAAATTAGCATCCCTTCCTCCTTAGCTATTTAGTTATTTCTCTTAGGACAGACTATAAGGGCTATAGGCTAAGCATATAAATAACGAAATATTTATCTCTTATAATTTCTAAGACTTCTTAATTATTAATAATAATTTTAACTTTTAAGAAAAGTAATCTAGTTAATATCTAGTAAGTCTTTTAACCTTAAATAAGTATATTAAAAGACTAGTTCTTTCTTTTTTAATTTATCTTTATTATAGCTAGTACCGCTTTCTCTAAATATTACCTTATTTACTTCTATAATATTAATATTAATATT